GGCATCCTACCCTTGACGGCTATCGCGATGTCATCTGCAAACAGAAAGAACACGCAACCGTCTCCTAGAGGAGGGATGTCCGACGTGTAGATGCTGTAAAGCAGTGGTCCCAGCAGACTCCCTTGCGGAACACCTGCTGGGATCGGAAATTGTCCCGAAAGGGAACTATTCAACGACACCCTGAACGACCTTTGCTGGAGATAGTTACGGGTGATTTTCACAAGGTATGGTGGAAAGTTGGAGTTACAAAGCTTGTATATAAGTCCGTCGTGCCAGACATTGTCAAACGCCTTTTCGACGTCTAACAAGGCCATGGCTGTGGACTTGGATACAGCTTTGTTACTTCGGATGTTATTCATCACCCGCACTAGCTGATGATTGGTGGAATGCCCCTTGCGGAACCCGAACTGTTCCGGAAGAAGAATGTCATGTTCCTCCACAAACTTGTTTAGTCGGCTGAGGATCAATTTTTCGAACAGCTTGCTCAGCGCTGAGAGCAGGCTAATCGGTCTGTAGCTTGACGGTAGTGAAGGGTCTTTCCCAGGTTTGCGGATCGGGATGATTTTTGCCACCTTCCAGATGCTTGGAAAGTAGTGCAGCTCCAAGCATCTGTTGAAGGTGGCAGCTAGCAGCGAGTGCACCCTCGGGCTGAGATTTTTCAACGCTAGGTTGAATATTCCGTCAAACCCGGAAGCCTTCATGTTCTTACTGTATTTCAGCGCTGAGCAAATTTGTTCCTCTGTAATCCGTTCTTCTGGAGGGACGGCACAAGGGGAGGCATCTAACGTCAGGACGCACTGCGCAACCTGGTTCTCGAGTGGACTTGGGATTTTAGAGCCAAGCAAATGCGACTGGGCAATGTGCTCCCCAATCGCATTGGCCTTCTCTTCGTTGGTGATAAGCCGTTCGTCATTGACTCTAAGTGGTGGAATGGGCTTGGGGTGAGACTTCAGCACCTTGGCAACCTTCCAGAATGGTCTGGAACGGTCGTCCAGGTTCTGAACGAGCCGCCCGAAACTCTCGTTCCGGATTGAGACCATTCTGGAAGCGATCTGCCGATTCAGATCGACCATTTCGTATTTACGCTGCAGATCCCCAGTCCGCTGAAACTGGCGTCTACGAACATTTCTGAGCCGAATCAAGAGTTTGGTGTGGGAATCAATTGCTTGAAACTTACCCCTCACAGGAACTCGTCGAACGCACTCTTCGTCAGCCACGGATATGGCTTGATGGAGACCCTCCAGGGCCCGGTCGATGTCATCCACTGTGTCGAGCGGTGGGTTGTCGTCGATGTGGCGGTCGACCACGCGTCGAAACTGGACCCAGTTGACTCGATGGTAGTCCTTCCGCTGGCACGGTGCAGGGGCCACGTTGTAGCCCAGCTCGGTCAGCACCGGTTGGTGGTCCGAACTCAGGTCGTTGACGGCAACCGGCTTGGCTAATCTGGTGTTTGCCAAGAACAGGTCCAGCGTCGATGGGTTGCCCGTCGGTGATGTGAAGGTTGGTTCGTCCGGAAACCAGACGGAATAGAGACCATGCTGGGAATGGTCGAATAGCAGGCGGCCGTTCTGGTTCTGCTGGTAGTTCCGCCAGGCCTCGTGCCGGGCGTTCAGGTCCCCTCCGATTACAAAGCGGGCATTGGTGTGGGTTATGATGGCAAGGTCGTTCTTGAACTGCTGTGCTGTACCATTGCTAACGGTACATTGCCGGGGGCAGTAGACGGCGATGAACCGGACGTTTCCGGTCGATGTTTCCACCTCAACGCCGACGGCCTCGATGATGGAAGTGCGGTAGTGGGGTAGGGTGCAGTACTTGATGCCTTTCTTGATGATGACCGCGACACCGCCCCCCCTGGAGCTGGTGCGATCAAGCCGGACAATGCTGTGGTCGGGCAGCCAGAAGCTGTCACCGGTCTTGAGGTGAGTCTCGGTGAGAAGGCCCACGTCGATGTCGTGCTTGCGGAGGAAGTCTGCAAGCTCAATGTTTTTCGCCCCTACGGAGCGAGCGTTCCAGTTGGCGATCTTTATGGGTTCACGGTCCATAATTAGCGACAAAGGAGATGATAGCTTGGAGCTGTTGTGTTCTTGTTGCGCAGGTGCGCTTGATGATGATGGCCTGGGCCAACAGTGTGACGATCTCATCCGTTGACAGCGGAGAATCGTCTGTAGCTTCACCGGTTGTACCGGCCAATCCCGGAGCAGGGGGATCCGTCGATGGCCCGGAGGCTTGACCGGGAACTGCAGCGGCAGCCAACTGTTGGTTGAGCGGGAGCGGCGGCAACACTGGAATTGGCCGTGATTGGACCGGTGATAACGGAGGAAAGTTCTGCGCGTTGTTTTCTGGAACCTTCTTGCGACCGGGCTGGCTGTTGGACGAGGCCTTCTTCCGGATCTCGGCGTATTCGGCCCGCTTCGGACAGGCCTTACTTGTGGCCTTGTGGGCGGCACCGCAGTTGGCGCATGTGGGAGTGGCTTCCTCGATGCTGTCGCAGTTGTCGATCTTGTGGTTTTTGCCGCATTTGATGCAGCGGCTGGCCATGCGGCAATTCCTGGTGCCGTGCCCGAACAATAGGCAGTTCGAGCACTGAGTGACGCCACGGTGGGTGGGTTTATACCGCTCCCACTTCACTACGATGTGGAACAGTGTGCGTGTCGTCTGGAGATCCTTCACGGTTGTGGAGTTCTTCTCCAGATGGACCAGGTAGAGCTGGTCACGATACTTGATGGCCTTGCTGCGGGTCATCTTGTGGACTTCGACCGGCTTGAGGCCGTTCGCCTTAATCTCGTCCATTAAGGTGGTGGTGTCCATGTCGTGGAGCCCGCGCAGCACCACTTTCAGCGGCTTGGTGGCCTCGATGTCGTGGGAGAAGTACTCCAGCTTCATTCTGTCCAAGAGGGCCTGAACTGCGTTGAAGTGTTTTTCGGCCGGGACCATCAGTTTGTAGCCTTCCGTGCACCGTTGAATGGTGCAGCGAAGGCCCTGCTTAATGTAGAAATCCAGCTGCTCCCATAGCCCGGGAGGGAAGCCCTTCACATAGAAGGGTGGCAACTTAACTTTTTTCGGCACCGTCTCAGGGTCCGACTGCGGCTGGGCTCCGTTCTGCAGGGCGGAGAACGGATTGTTGCTCAGCAGCTTTTTTGCTGCTGATACGGTGGCGCTGCTGTCTTCAGGTCTGGGTCGTTTAGTTCCGGGAGGCCCCGGCTGCGGGTCCGCAACGCCTGTCGGGATGGGCAATGGGGTTTTCTTCTGCTTCTTCTGGGCTGGCTCGGTGGTCGCGCCGTCTCCTGGGAGAGTCTGTTTTCCCGGTAAACCGGCACTCGCGTTACCGCGCGATTTCTTACCCATGGCTGGGTCAGCGAGAGCGTCACTACACAACGCGGAGCTAATTCGACTTGCGAACGAACGAACGAAACTAGAGAGAATTCAAATCGACTGAACTGCTCAACAGTCTGGCAGCGAATGATGATGGAACGGGCGACCTTGTTGGACGCTTATATAGTAGAACAGAAAATATCAGAGGTGTCAGATACTCGCATCTGATGTCTCGGTTGGAGAAAGTATAAGAATATGATTCTATGATTCGATTGAAAAATCAATCGATTTTCACCATCTTTAGACAATGGTTTACTTTTAACCATTTTTCAATAGTTTACAGAATGAAATCAATAGTTTTGAAACATTCAGCAAATTGCTAGAAATATTTCCAATCGATTGATGCCATTATCTCGTAAATCTATCGAGATTTTTTTTTAAATTCTTTATTAAAGAGATTTTTAGCCTTAGGCTAGTTCATCTCTAAATCTATCGAGAGACGGTTGAGTTATTTTCGTTCAAAATCTTTTAATTTTTCGTAACGCATCCAAAATGACTGTTTTCAATTTTGTACCCCGTATGTCGCCGAAAGACGTTATCCAACGTCAAAACGATGCTTCAGGTTTGAAGGAACAAAGTGGAATGAACGCTATTCTCTAAATACTTGCTAACGTAACACAATCGCGGGTTACTTGGTTTTTAGTTATAAATAATGTTAAACCATTTTCGGTAAGGTCAAGATATGGTTCGCGTTTATCCGGGAAGCTGTATAATAAAAAAAATCCATAGAAGCAACACGGAGTACGATTTGAAAATCGTATAGTCTTCATCTAAAAGTTCCTTAAACTTTTCCTGAAAGTCCTCTGATCTCCCGACGTTTTTCCCGGCTGTCGAAGCAAACGAAATGTGCTGCCATCGCTCTTCGCATCGCGGTTTTTATTCGAGTGGGCAATAATTATGTTTGGATTATAATCCGAACATAATTATTGCCCGCTCGACTAAAAACTTGAATATTATATTAAAGTCATTAATTTTGTCCTGCTAGATTAATCACTGGCCCACTGTACGCTGTTTATGCACCTGCACCCCCTCGGCTTTATAACGAACTACTGTCAAAAATGTTTGTGAAAAACATCGCAACTGGACTCTCACTCTCGCCAAGAGAGACCGAGACCGCAATGACTACAGTAATCTCTCCACTTATGCGGTGGCTGTTACCATCCACCCACCGCTGTTTCTCGGCTGTCCTACCAATTCCGCTGAGTTTTTGTACGTGATTAGTGTCAATCATAAACTAGTTATCTACAGAAAATCAGCTCAATTGGTTGAAGGACAGCCGAGAAACAGTGGTGGGTGGACGGTAACACCCACCGCCTTCATTGAGAGATTACTGTACTCTTGGGAGAAAAGTTGGTTCAAAACAAAACAGTACTCACGAGGCGAGAGCGACGGTCGTACGGCTCCCCATCCCACTCGTCCGCAAGCAGTTTTCCTCAGCAACACGGCACGGCACGCGGTTTTCCTTTCGCACTGTTCGCGAGCAACCCCATCTTCCGCTCCATTCCAAGTTTGAATGCTCTCGCTCTCACGGCGAGCTCCACATTCCATCAAACAACGACGACGGATGGATGACGGAGAGTTCCCCAATCGAATCGAATCGAAACCGTTCTTAGTTGGAGTTGACTCAACGCGGATCGTGGACGTGTTCGTTTCTCGGGCAGTGCAAACTACAAAAGAGTAAGTTGTGTCCGGTTGGAGGCATTTTTTTTTCTTCTGTTGCTCCGTTCCCACAGTCAGCAAGAAGATTACTACAGCTGCTGGCGGGTGGGTTGCATGCGGTGGAAACGTCGTGGTTCACTCTGATTACGCGATTTTTTCTCTATCGACTAGCGAGTTTTGGATCTTGGCCCATATCTCGGCCAAGAAAGGTGATGCTTGCCAATCTGATTGTGCTGCCTGTGGCTCTGCTTTAGTGTGTGCGATAATAAAAAGAAGGTGAAATCCCTCAGCAAGTGCGGTCGGAGGTGCCAAGTGTACTGGCTACAACTGGAATTATTCTTGTTCTTATTGTTCCGACTGCGAAGAAAGGCATTTTGGTGTGTGTTGCGCGCTGGCTGTGCCTGTGCTGCAAAGTGAATGGTGCCCCACTGAAAGGTTGAAAGGTGTTAGGTAGTTCCAACATTGAATTGGCAAAAAGATTAGAAAATGTGGCGAAAATTGGATCCCTGCTTGGGGCATTAGTGCACAGTGAAGAACCCCCCCATTTGCCTCGTCGTTTTGGGGCCACGACCAGAAAGAAAACAAAAAGTTTCACCAATTAGCGGAATTTCGGAAGCGGCGAAACAGCACTGCTGAGAAAGAGCCAAAGAAGAGCACCGAAGCAAGGAACGGAACAGCACCGCAAAAACATGTCATCAACGGAGCTTTACGTGAAGGTAAGTAAATACGTGGAACCTTAGCATTATTTCGTCACTACCACTATGGGCGCGCGCTCTGTAGATACCTTATATCAAGACAGAAGCGAAGATAGGACGGAACGCGCTGCATCTAGCTTTGTAGATATGGCATGGGGCTGTACCACGTTGGAAAGAACAATAGCCCGACGGGCATTGGGGGAATCGGTAGCAGCTACGGCGCTGCATGGCTACTTCTCGCTGTGTGCAGTATTGCATTATTAACTATTAAAATCTATTTACATTCGGTTGTATGGATTCTCTTGCCGGGGGCTCCTTGGGTCACGACGACAATCTTGTCGATATTTCAGGTGTTGCCAGTTTGTCTTCAGTTGGGGACAGGGAAGTATATGACGATACGAACTATTGCATTTAAATTTGATCTGAGATTCTGAAGATTATGTGTGATTTTATTTTAATGGTATATTTCGTGCTGATCGATGATATAATTGTAATCTATTTAGTCAAACGTCCCAGACAACCAGAAGTCCTGTATAACAATGTACAGAAAGTACCGTAAATTGCTACAGTTTAAATCAACATCGCATTAACAAATTAAATACATCGTATTTTGTTTAAGTTAAATCGTTGTTTCTACGAATCTGCTAAAATGAACACTTTATCAATTTTCAATAGGTCACAATTGAATTTTTCACAAATGTCCAACTGTTGCAATAGTGATCAAAATAATCACCGATTGCCGGCAAAAAGCGTTTTCCCTAACACAGATTTCAAAATCGAATTCCATCCGGTCTCGATCGCTAATAAACGGGTACCATACACTAACGATATCATAGATTGTGTGACCATACCACATAAAGTTTGGATGATATCCCGAATTGGTGGTTAGGCGCTTCTTATGGTTATTGTTTATGCGGGCGGTCGGTCGTCATCAGCAGCTGCATCCCACATGAGTGTTCATTAGGATGGGTCATCATGATCATTTTCCAGAACAATGTTTTTTTGGTTCCATTTGGGGTCCCAAACAACTATGCAAAATTTGGGGACGATTGGTTATAATCCGGCTTTCCGCATTGCGTTTGAAACTTGTATGGAAATTAGTATGGGAAAACCTACTTTTTTGCATCTTTTTTTACTAGGGACCACAATTTTGCACAAACCACGCATCCAAAATGAAATAATTTCGAAGTTGATTATTTTATCGGTTTGGTATGTTCAGATGAAATATTCAAAAACAATAGATCTATCTCATACGCAAAATTGGAGGGGGAGGGGGGTGTCACTCATATCAATAGAAGTAAAGTTTCAAACTGAAATAACTTCGGAGTTTCTTATCTTATCTATTTGGTATGTTCAGATGAATTATTCAAAAACAATTTTTCAATCTCATACACGTATTAAGAGATGAGGGGGGCTAACTATACCCCGCCCCCCTCATTCGTATAAATGGAAGTAAAGCTTCAACTGCATTAACTTTGGTATTTCTGATCTTGTCAAGTTGGTATGTTTAGATTTATTCAAAAACATGTGCTACATTTAATAGGCGTAGTAAGATATGGGGGGCTTACTGTATCCTTTGCGCCCCTCACTTATATCAATGAAAGTAAACATAAAGACTAAAATAACTTCGGAGTTTCCCATCTCTCGAGTTGTTTCGATGGGTTATTCAAAAACATTTGCTCAATCTCATAAGAGCAGTTTGAAAGCGAGTACCCCCATTCCCTTCCCTAATCTTTTGATGCAATATACAATGTCAGATATAATCACACAAATTTAATTGTAATTTTTATGTTTCATTTTAATATATTCCACGATTTCTCAAGGTACTCTTTTCGATGCTGTTCTATCCCCTGAAGCAAATATTGCTGTTGAACTAGGTCTCGGGTGCATTTCTTGATAAGTCAGAAATTAGTTTCACACCTCATTCAGCCATATCGTTGACAATCATCAAGGAAGCAGCTCGTTGTATCGCATTGAAATAATCTGTATCATTACTCCACTCGTTTTCCGGTTTTTGCATGAAGCCGGTCGAAATTTCGAAAATGAATCAGCACTGTTAGAAATGAAGTTTGACTTGGGAGCCCAACTGAAACGTAGCCCACTTAAAGTTATCCCAATATGCGAAATCCGACTGTACCTGTGTCTGAGACGAAACTGGTGAAGACAGTTTCCGTTTTCTTCTATTTTTGGTTTTTGGAATACGACTACTTCTGTGTTTTCTATATGCGGGTGGCCCAAATGGCAGTTTAATATTTCAAATTAAAGCTTTATATAGAAATAATATAGCAGTAGATATTAAATATTTACACTACAACAATTTTCGTTTTAAAACTACTTATATACCCCCCTCGCTCTCTAACTACGCTTATGAGATTGAGCAAATGTTTTTGAAAAATTCATCCTGAATATACCAAATCGATAAGATAAGAAACTCCGAAGTTATTTCAGTTTGAGACTTTACTTCTATTGATATGATGGAGGGGGCGGGGTACATTATTACCCCCCCCCCCCCCCCTATTCAACAACACATGAGATAGAGCAAGAATAATTAATTTCAACATACCAAATCGGCAAGATAAGAAACTCCGAAAATATTTCAGTTTGGAATCTGACTCCCATTGGTACACCAGCAGTGTTGGCAGAAAAAGGGAATTTTGGTGTTTAATTCAAACCATAAATATTTGAATAGTTATAACTTTTTTTAGATACATTATAGCTTCGTACTTCCTTTGGCAAAGTTGCTATGCACTTCATGGACTATATTTGTACATACAATTGTGGTCACTAGGGATAAAAATGCAAAAAAGTTGGTTTTCCCTTACTAATTTCCATTCAAATTTTAAACGCAATGCGGAAAACCGAGTTACAACCAATCGTCCCCAAACTTTTTACTGTTGTTTGGGACTCCAAATGAAACCAAAAAGGGGTTGTTCTCGATTGGTGAGGTAAAGTTTGCGTTTTTCCATATAACGATGACCCACTCTAGTGTCCATTCACCGAAGAAGGAGGAAGAAGCCGCACCGCTACTGATCGGATTCAGTAGCTCTTCGTGAGTCGCTGTGAGCCATCTATGCCAAGTGCGTCACCCTTGTTCCAAACAACATGCAGCCGCATCTATGGTAAACACCCTAATAGATCAGCATTACTCAACGATCACGACAAAACGGATTTTTTTTGTCAAGACAGAACGTGACAGTGCTGTGATCATCGAGATTATAAGCTTATGCATTGCTATTAAAGTTACTTGTATCAAATAAATATTAAAAATATATTCACTCTACCGATTACATATGGTTACTTGCTTAAATTCATCTAAATCAGTTAGAAATGTTGATGTCAAAACTGCATAAGAATTATTCTCATGAGTGCTTGATCATTGGAAAATGACAAAAAAGCTAATGATCGCTCGTTTCGTCTCGTGATATTGAGGGGACCTGTTTTCTCATTGTCGCATGACGGCCGTGATATTTACCAGCTCTGGCTGTCGGTTGTTATTTTGATTCTCATCTATTCGCAAGGTCTGGAGAAGGCTACACGCTTATTCTGGTCAACTCAAGAATGTACTCATCTCAGCGGCAAGTAGTGCTACTCAAAATTGAGTAGCCTTATGTTGACCCACTTTTGAGTAAACGACGTTCTCACGTAGACTGATTCAAATCCACTCAGCGATATTTTCAGTTGGAGGGGGGGGGGGGGTTTGTTTTGATTTTATTTAAGGAAATGAAAATTGTCTGCTCCGGATTCATTCTACCTGAGCAGAAAATGGTTCAACACCATTGCCCTAAGCAATGTCTACTTACCTGAAGGAATTTCCGCCAGTTTTGAGTGAAACATTCACCCGTTTCCTAGGACGTTTCCACCAACATGGTTGACATTTTACAGAATTTTACTGACTGAGTGGCTTTTACTCAGTTTGACATTTCTCGTTTACTCAGTTTTTGACAACTCGATACATCGGACGAAAGTGAGTACGATCGACTCACCCGGTGAGTAAGCTGAAGTTAGCGTGTGCTATGTTTTTAAACTTTTGACAATGTTTTATGAATTCGAGGGCCACGCTTACTTTACTCTTCTCCGAGTTCTTCTCCGCCAGATGGTCAGTCGTTGATGGTGTGCTGGTAAATTTTTCTGAAATTAACTTGAGTGTTTCATCCTACTTCGTCTATCCGTCGAGATTTCCTTGTCATAAATTTGGCTTTTATTAACTATGAGGAATCATCTTTTAAGCTCAATTTGTAAACAGAGTAATTGTGGATTTTATGATGCATTTAAGAAAAAACCTAAAAAGCAACAATAACTGCTTTTTGCTCTAATGAAAAACCTAATGGTTTTATGGTTGCTTTTATAACGATAGAACACGTTTATAAAGTATTTTACCAAGACATTAATAAACAATTGCTAAAGACGTTTATGCTTGAATTACAGAACAATTTTAAGGAGGGATTGAGTACTGTTTTAAATTTATTTTTAAAACAAGACAGGTTTTTACTTTCTTGCCAGACTATACAAGGTTTTCAAAACAGTTAAAAGCTGAATTACTAAGCAGGAATGTTTTACACTTCGAATTGCTGTATTGTTCATTGCCGTTATAAAACCATTATAAATCAGAGTGGATGTCAAATTGTTACTTGGGTCGCTAATAAACGGGTACCATACACTAACGATATCATAGACTGTATGACCATACCACATAAAGTTCGGATGATATCCCGAATTGGTCGTTAGGCGCTTCTTATGGCTATTGTTTATGCGGGCGGTCGGTCGTCATCAGCAGCTGCAGCCCACATGAGTGTCCATTCACCGAAGAAGGAGGAAGAAGCCGCACCGCTACTGATCGGATTCAGTAGCTCTTCGTGAGTCGCTGTGAGCCATCTATGCCAAGCGCGTCACCCTTGTTCCAAACAACATGCAGCTCGCCAGCCTCACCTATGTTAAACACCCTAATAGATCAGCATTACTCAACGATCACGACAAAACGGTCCTTTTCAGAACCAGCATAAATTATTGTTCTTTAAGAGTGA